CTCCTCCTCCTCCTCCTCCTCCCAAGGTTTTACTCTGTTGCCTAGGCTAATTTTGAGCTTGCAGGCTCAAGTGATCCTCTTGCTTCAGCCTCCTGAGTAGACAGCACCTGCCACCACACCTGGCTTTTAATGTACTTTCAGCATTCAACTTTATTATACTTGTTATCAGGTGCAACTGATGCATTTGCTTCTGGGCTGGACTCTTGTTTGTATGTATCTTCTTAAGATTGGTAATGTAACTCAGCTGAAATGATATAATGTCTGCATTTTGCTTTAAAATAATGTGGAGGTGAACAAAGTAGGTGGAGCTATATATATGATTTGCCATAGGTTGATAACCTTTGAAGCTCAATGATGATGGAAATTTATTGTGTTCTCCTCTTTACTTTAGTATATGGTTGAAATTATCCCTCCCTCCCTCCCTCCTTCCTTTCTTTCTCTTTTTCTTTCTTCCTTCCATTCCTCCCCTCTTCTCCTTACCTTTTTGTCCTAAGTCTACTGAAAATGTCACAGCATAGCAAACAGATTGAAATGACTCCATGTGATGTTTTAAAATTCAGTCTGAGTGACCTGCAGTTTGGACAGACAACAGAAGTCCAAACCTTCAGAATTTCCTTAGTATGGGGATTTGCTTCAATGATCCAGGGTGGAAACTTCAGGAGCATAATTATCTCTCCTCCCACAGTTTGATAGACATGTGCCTTACCTGGCCTCTCTCAATCCACTTCATCAGATCTATGATGTAATCTGCTATATTGTTGTGGAACTTCTTGCTTAATAATGGTGATATCCTTACCCAAGTATGTGTTTGTGTAGAACAGTGCTTAGAGTAGTTCTCAGTGATGACCAGGGCCTCTTTCTTCATGGTGCAAATACAGCACAAGTTGGTTGGTCTTTGGTAAAAGCAAACTTTTCAATATTAAAAATGCAGACATTTAAATTTAAAGTGTTTCTCAGTAACTGTGATTACATGTGACTAACCAATGTGTCTTGTCCACAATTCTAGTCACAGATCAGAGTGTCAAGTATTACTTGGAATCACTTAATTAACCATAAAGGCAGCCTATTATTATTAAGCCTTAGTGGATGCAAATGGGATTTCTGGGCTGGAGCATTGGCCCAAACTAGAAAATAAAGTGAAGAGCTTATGGTTTCTAACCTAGAAAAATGGGGAAAGAATCACCATGTTTTCTTTTCACTTTGGTCTGTTTTCCTTATTCTTTGAGACAGGTGTCACTATGTTGCCTGGGCTGCTGTCAAATTTTTGGACTCAATTATCTTTCTGCTTTAGTCTCAGAATGCTGGCACCACAGTGCCTGACTTGGTCTTTTTAGAAATGAAAATTG